CCCCACCCAGACTCATCCCACTCCCCCTGCTCCCCGCCCAGTCTAATCCCACTCACACACTCCCCACCCAGCCTAATCCCACTCCCCACCCAGCCTAATCCCACTCCCCTCGCTCCCTGCCCAGTCTAATCCCACACTGTCCCTTCCTGACCACATACTCTGCTTCCCACCAGCCGTGCCCTTGCTAGTTGACCTGCTGCCACCCCCCACTGCACGGTGAGTGGAGCTGTACCTGGAACAGCCGGTTCCTATACGTAGCTTCGTCCTCGCCCGCTGCTCTGGGTGGCTGCGTTCTGCCACACCGCGCCAGGTGTCGCTGCATCTCTTCCTCATTGAAGAGCTGGGCCGGGTCGAGCGAATGGCTGTTAATGCGGCTGACCAGGTATTCCTTATAGTGGGACCTGCACACAGAGAGAGAGAGAGGGGTATTCCTTATAGTGGGATCAGCACAGAAAGCGAGGTATTCCTTATAGTGGGACCCGCACACGCACACAGAGAGAGAGAGGTATTCATTATAGTCGGACCTGCACAGAGAGAGAGACAGAGAGGTATTCCTTATCGTGGCATCTGCACAGAGATAGATAGAGAGAGAGAGACCGGGAGAGAAACAGGGAACGAGAGAGAGAGACACGGGGTGAGAGAGAGAGCGGTTTTCCTTACAGTGGGACCTGCACAGAGAAACACAGGAATAAGAAAGAGAGAGAGTGGGAGAGACGGAGAGACAGAGAGACAGGGGGAGAGAGAGAGAGAGAGACAGAGACAGGGAGTGAAGAGCGATCAGGGAGTGTGTGTAAGGGAGAGAGAGACAGGGGGAGAGAGACAGACAGACAGGGAGTAGGAGAGAGAGAGACGGGGAGTGAGAGGGAGACGGGGAGTGAGAGAGACAGAGAGGGAGACGGGGAGTGAGAGAGAGAGAGAGAGAGACGGGGAGTGTGAGAGAGAGAGAGGGAGTGCGGGAGAGAGAGAAAGAGAGAGATGGGGAGAGAGGGAGATAGAGACAGGGAGAGAGAGAGAGAGACGGGGAGTGAGAGAAAGAGAGAGGGAGAAAGAGAGAGAGACGGGGAGTGAGACAGAGAGACGGGGAGAGAGAAGGGAGAGACAGAGACAGGGAGCGAGAGAGAGACAGAGACAGGGAGCGAGAGAGAGACAGAGACGGGGAGCGAGAGAGAGACAGAGACGGGGAGCGAGAGAGAGACAGAGACGGGGAGTGAGAGAGAGGGAGAGACGAGGAGTGAGAGTGAGAGTGAGAGAGAGAGAGAGACGGCGAGTGAGAGAGAGAGAGACGGAGTATGAGAGAGAGAGAGAGACGGGGTATGAGAGAGAGAGAGACGGGGTATGAGAGAGAGAGAGAGACGGGGTATGAGAGAGAGAGAGAGACGGGGTATGAGAGAGAGAGAGAGA